TGATAAGAATATTGAAGGCATTTTATAATTCATTTAAACAATCAGGCTTCCTAAAAGTCTGAATGAAAAAGAAAAATGAAAACAAACAAAAGAAAATGAGCAAATGTTAAGAAAGGAACACCTAAAAGAAGCAAAAGGCAAAATCTAAACATAAAATAAAATTGGAAGGTACCTCAAAAGCCTTTTTAGGAATATAAGGAATCAAATTTAGCTTGATTAAAAATGTTTTAAGCACCTGCTGTCTGAATGACCCAGGGATGGCCTCTGGGTTTACCTCATGGGGGCCAGCCTGGCTAAATCCAGAAGTTCCTCATCAGAAAGCAGGTTATGAACTTTGTGTTCATAAAAACACATGAAACTGTATTCTAAAGAATGAAGGATGGAGGCAGCTAGGTGGCACAGTGGATAGAGCACTGGCCCTGGAGTCAGGAGGACCTGAGTTCAAATCCGGATTCAGACACATAACATTCACTAGCTGTGTGACTCTGGGCAAGTCACTTAACCCCGATTGCCTCACACACACACACAAAATCATAAAAAGAATGAAGGAGATGAGGGAGTGGTACAGAGAAAGCTGGGTTATGATTGGTATCAGTGAAAGAAGCACCTAGAAGGAGAAGTCAGAAGTTTGAAAGAATTAAAGTTGTTGACCAGGTTCTGTGCTTGTCACTGTGGATGGACATGAAATCAGACATGTTTCTTTGTGCTCAAGGGGATCACAAACAAATAAGGGGGATTCAGTATGTATAACTATGACTTTGAGACAGAATGTGCTAAGTGCTAAAGTCCAGGCAAAATGCAATAAAAAAGAGTAGGGAGAGATAGATTACTTCCAGCTGGAGTGGATTGGAAATGGGGGGGGGGCAGAGGTAGCGTTATGGAAGAGGTGGCATCTGGCCTTGAAAATAAAGAAGGGTTTTCACTACAGGAGATGTGGCTGGAGGTTTCCTTCCAGGCATAGAAGGTAGGCAGCATGAGCAAAGGCAGGGAGACAAGAAAAGGGAAAGCATGAGCAAATGAATTGAATTGGGGAAGTTGGGATGTTATTGATTCATGTTACTGACTGACTCAAATGGGGAAAGGATAAGACTTATTCTGCTTGGATCCAGGGGGCAGAACCGAAAGTAATGGGTGGCAGTTACAAAGAGCCACATTTTCACTCACTACAAGAAAAAATAATTAAAGCTATCCAAAAGTGGAACTGAGTGCCTCAGAGATGGTAGGTTCATGGCCATGTGTATACTATGCTGGGATTCCTATTTGGGTACATGTTTAATTAGATCACTCAATCCAGTAATGATTAAACATCTACTATGTGCCAGGCACAGTCCAATCACTGGGAATACAAAGACAAAAATGAAATAGCCACTGCCCTCAAGGAGCTTACATTCCATCAGAAGATAACAGCTTATTGATTGACGTAATAAGGTACAAAATGGTAATAACTAACATTTATAAAGCACTTACTATGTGCCAGGCACTGTGCTAAGTGCTTTATAATTATTATCTCATTTGATCCTCACAACAACCCCGGGAGGTAAATGCTATTATTATCCCCATTTTACTGATGACGAAACTAAGGCAGACAGAGCTTAAGTGATTTGCCCAAGGTCACAAAGCTAGTAAGTGACAGAAGCTGGATCTGAATTCAGGTCTTCCTGATTCTAAGTCCAATGCTGTATCTACTGCCACCTAGCTGTCCCAGGGTATGCACTGTAAATACATGGTATTTGTGTGTAGTGGTTTTTTTTCCCCATTTACAGGAAGGGCTAGGGGTGAAAGCACTAAATGATTTCTCAGGTTCCCTCCAATTCTGAGATGAATACCAGGTGCTAGAAGTGCCATGGGTTGGTTAGGACATATACAACTTTAGAGGGACAATGTAAGTCCTTATCTTCTAGGACAGAGCTCTTAAGCCAAGTTCCTTTGGGAGTCCATGGATAGATTTCAGAGGAATCTACAAACTTGCATGGAAAAACACTGCCTTTTTATTTTTATAAATCTCTAACTGAAACTTAGCACTTCTTTCAATTCTGAATCGACAAAACCCCATGAATTTCAGCAGGGCTCCAGAGGCTGTACTACCACAAAGGGTTCTAGGACACAGATACACAAGGAACCCTGCTTTGGGAGCTGACAATCTAGTTCTTACCTGGCATGTCCAACTCCCTCTTCTGCATCAATTCACATCCTACAGTTTCTTGGAAAAACAGCAACGGTATTGCTTCTATGAGGGAGAAGGCTCTCCCCTGACTCTGTCAGCTCTCCAGGGTTTCCCTAAAGCGTTTGTAGTCCACACCATTCATCGGCTGCAGCAGCCACAGCTCCACAGAACCCTGCATGATCCTCCATCCTCTGCCCCGTTACATTCATTCCCTCTTTTTGTCAGTGGAATCGCCATTTCTCCCACTTCTCAGGTCTGGATCCTTGGTGCCATGGCACTGAGGGAGACAAAGTTTTTCAAAGACACTGTCCTCTGCCCTAATGGAGCTTAGAGTTTGAGAGGGACACATGACATGTAACTATCATGTGAAATTATCAGACACGTGTTATCGACCTGGCCATGTGTCTTCTTTGTTCAAAACTCTTCAACAGCTACTGAATGGCAAGTAAACTCTTTAACTTGGCATGACCCTGAATAGGTCACTTCACTTTTCTTTTAGACTCAGTTTCCTCATCTGTAAAATTAGGATAATATAATTTTTCTCCCAGGGTTGTTCTGGGGATCAAATTACATAAAGCAGATAAATCCCATGGCAAACTTTAAAATGTCACATAAATATTAGCTTTTATTATTATTCAAGATCCATCCTAACACCACCCTTCCTTTTCTGCCTTATTTCATAGTATTCTATGCTCCGGTACCCCTGCACTTTCCTGCTTGTGCTTCTAAGGTCCCTTCCCCCTCCTCCTGGTGAACTCCCATCCCTTTCTTTGGAGTCACCTCCAAGGTCTGCTCTTTCAGGACTCAGGTCCTGATACTTGGTAGGTATTGACGCTTACTTTATCAGATCTCAGTTTTCTCACACCTCTCAACTGAATTACCAATCAATATTTTATTAAGCATGTATTTGGTAGGAGGCACTAGGCTAAGTGCTGCTGGGCCCCCAAACACAGCAATGAAAACAGCCTCTGCCCCCAAAGAGCCCTTTCTACTGGGGGAGATCCCAGATAAGCAAATGCAGACGGCTGAGGGAAGTGCCGGGTGATGGGGAGAGGGCCTCCAGTGGGAACCGCACTTGGGTTGAGCCTTGATTGGATTCCAGGCTGTGGAGGTGAGGAGGCTAGGGCTTCAGAGCAACACAGAAAGGAGGTGTTATGGCTTGTAAGGGAAACAGGAAGTAAGCTAGCTGGGGTGGAACAAAGTGATTGTGGAGGGCTTTAAATGCTATAAGAAGGCTTTGTATTTTACCTTGGGGGGGTCGGGGTGGGGGTGGGTCTTTCTCCTAATGGGGACCTGTGATTTCATAGGTTTAGATTTCACTGGTGCAGGCAACTGACAGTGAATTTAGTCCCTCCACTATTGTAGACATTCGACACTCCACAACTTTTAGTCTTAGGGAGATGCTTGGGTGCTCTGAGAGAAGCAGGACAGCGCCCCCCCCAGTCACCATCCTACGCTGCCTTCTATTAGATGCAATATTATATAATGTAATTAACAGTCATCAACTTTATGTCACATTCCCAATACATGTAATCTGCAGAGCAGGCACTTGATACAAATGTTTCAATTCAAACAGCACTTATCAAGCACCTACTACGTGGAGGTACTATACTAAATGCCCCTCCCCCCTCCACAAATTAAACACTTTCTGCGTTCAAGAAGCATCCAGGCCCATATTCTCCTTGTTTGTGGGATTGTGTAATGTGACATTTGAGACCTGGCTCCCGCTCTCAGAGAGTTTACGGTCTAGAGGTGGGGGAGAGGGGATCAATCTAATTCAGGGAACATTTATTATGCGCCAGGTATTATATATGCCAGGTAACGAGCTAAAAAAACGCTGCAGCTACATAAGGAGACTAGAGACACTCCCTGCCCTCAAGTAGCTTACAATCTACGTGCAGAAAACGGGGATAAACTGTAAAGAAACACGTGGGTTACACACATTCGCTTAATTTTCCGCCCCCCCATCCCACCCCCACAAGCGTGCGTGTGGAGCACTAAGAAGTCACAGAAGACGACTGGAGGCTACTAGGTCCCTCGACTTCTCACCTCGAATGCGGGGGGGGGGGTAGGGGGAGGGGAACTGAACGCCACGTTGTACTGCCCATGCGGTGGCTGAAACTTCCCTCCCCGCCCCAGCTCCGGCCCTCCCAAAGGTCACTCCAGCTCTTTCCACCTAGCGGCCAGCCACACGCATGCGTCCCCAAGGGGGTGGTGGTGAACGTGGGGGTGGTAGTGGTGTCGGTCTCGCGTGGGAGGCTGCCTTGTGGGGAAGGAGGTAGGGGGTCACGTGCCGTGCGAAGAACGAAAGCCGCCCGGCACGCGCCCGGGAGGCCCCGCCCTTCGGGCGCCCTTCCCTCCTGCCCTTCCTTCCCCCTCCTTTCCCAGGACCGGGAGGAACAGTTCCAAATTGGGGCGTGCCCGCCTGCTCTTCCCAGGAAGGGACTAAGGGGGCGGGGAGAAGTCGGGCGCGTGCGTATATGCCGGCTCAGGGAGGCAGTTGTTGGATGACGCCACTAAGGGGCGGGGCGAGCAGCTCCAGAGAGAAAGAGAAAGAGGTCGGCGTTGACTTGAAGTTGGCACTGGGGGAGGAGAAAGGGGCAGGGCCGAGGGCGGGAGGAGGGGGGGAGGAGACGCGCGCACGCGCTCATGACCGCACGGTTGGCAAGGCTGGTCGTCGGCACGTTGCCGGGTGGGCGGGGGAGGGGCGTGACGTAGCAAGGTGGGGGGGCGGGGAGCCCCGCCCCCTTCCCCGATGGCCTGCGTGCGGGGAGCTGAGACGGGAGTGGCGGGGGAGGAGGAGGAGGAGGAGGAGGAGGAAGAAGAGGAAGAGGAGGGCAGAAGGAGGAGAAGGAAGAAGGGCAGGAGGGCCCCGGCCGGGTCCCGACGGGCTGATGGCAGCGGCGGAGGGCGAAGGGGGGCGGCCAATGAGGGCGGCCGGAGGGGGCGGGGCGTCGCCGTCTATTTTGTCCCGCGGCCGCTGAGGGGAAGCGTCGTCGTTCATATGCAGGAGGGTTGGCGGCCAGCGCGGCTTCAGCTCCGGGCCTGGGCTGCGGCGGCGGCGGGATCCTCGGCGGCGGAGGCGAGCGCGGGCCGCCCGCACCCTGCGCAGCACCCGCCGCTTCCGGGCCCCCCGACGGCCGCGGCCGCCCCCGGCTCCCGGCTCCCCTCCGTCCGCTGCAGCTGCCTCTGCCCACGGGGCTCACCTCCCCTGCTCTGCCTCGCCGGGGCGCGAGCCCGGCTCCAGCGCCGTGGACCCGGCTGCCGCTGCTCCCGCTGCTCCCGCTGCCGGCGGCCGTGCCCGAGCCACAGGTATCCGCTGCGGAGCGCCCCGCATCCGTCGTCCCGCGAGCCGCGCGTGTCAGCCTGTCCCCGTCCTGAGCCCCAGGAGGGCTTGGTTTCCATTTAAAACAACAAATTAAGTTTCATTTCTTCGTGCACTTCTCTCTCTCTGTCTCTCTTTCTATTTCTCTCTCTCTCGCTCTTCCCCCCCCCCCTTTTAGCCACCTTCCCCCGCTCTCGTGTCCGTCCCTGCTCGGCTTAGCTTCTCTCTCGACTTGCTAAGTCTCACTCCGGGGCTCATGCAGCAGGAGGTCTGGGGTGCGGGGGGTGGACAGGAAAGGCTTTGGAGAGATGCCGGAGGGGCTGACCCCTTGCTTCTTAGATGGAGAAACCGAGGCTCTCCCAGAAGGGCTGCCCTTCTCCAAGGGTGGGCCAGGCTTCCCTGGGACCCCGGAGTCGATTGCTCCGAGGGAGTCCTGAGAGAGGTGGGTGGGGGGTGTTCGCTTTAAGGGAAAAGGAAAGCTCGTGCAGAGGAGAGTTGGCTGGTGGTTGCCGGGAGCCTTGCAACCTTGAGGCAGCAGGAGCCTGTCGGAGCGGTGCATGCCCAGCTCCCAGGCTGGATGGGCAGCGGCGATCTGTCACGGGCCGGTCCTTTGCCTTGCACCTCGAGTGACACCATCTGAAAAATGAACAAAATAGGTTTCCGCAAATTAGTTTGAGACAGTTGTGGGAATTTTGTGGGGTTTTTTTGGGAAGACTTTCTCTTGGGCTCTTCTTGGCAGCTCTTTCAGGAAACAGGGCAAAGTGGTTGAACAACTCAAAACCCTTTACTAATCATTGATAAGCAACCTCATGGAAAGAAACGTCTGGACCATTCAGTATTTGGCCTTGAAAGAAGAAAAAATATTTTTTAACCATTCCACCAAGAAAATGTGATCATAACACAATGCTTTTTTGCATGTAATAGGTGTTTAATAAAAAGTATTAAAATTAATGTGTGTTTTTTTTTCATTGTTGGCCTGATAAACGTTTTAGCTACTTTAACTTTTAGGAAGAGAAAGGAAATTTTGATTTCAGTGTTTTGGCTGAAACTGAGGTAAATGAGCAGATTTGTCCAGTCCTAATGGAAGATGGTTCAAAATTGATCTTTGTAGTAGTAATAACGGTACTTAAGGGTGACAACTGAGATGGAACTAGTATTCTGAATGAGTCAGAGTAGATCAGAGATTAGGGATTTTTAATGTGCACATAAGACGTAGGCCTCAGGATGAGTTGGACTGGCTGCTTGAATCTCTTTTCCGGTTCACTACACCTACTTTAAAGTTAGCCACTAAGAGCTGTTAATTCCAGTCGTTGCTGTTAACATTGCTTTAAGTGTATGTGGGTGGAAATTTTGTTTGAAAGGGTTTTAAATCATGTAACAGTGAATTGAATAGGTAATGAAATATTTTCGATGTAAAACTCCATGATAATAAGACTCTTTGCTTTAAATAGTTCTTAAGTGAACAGATAGTTGGAAGTCTGCCCCTTTGGTAGGCAGGGAAGATCAGGTTAAATTCTAAGAACTTAATTACTTTCTAGAAAGAAAATAATTTTAAGTCCTTGCATTGGATTTCACTTTTTTGTTTTCTATCACCTCTGACTTTTTTGTTTAATTAAATTATTGAAGTCTAAGTATAATAGCTGGCTTGATAATTTTACCATTTAACTTTAAAGCATACTGTAGATATATAATTTCAGGCTTAAAATAGGGTACCTGTTTCTGTTCTTGGAGCTCAATTCACAATGACTTAAAATACTTTATAGAAACATGGACTTCTGCTTGGCTTGCCTTGATGTTCAGTGGGTTGACTATATTTAAAACTCTTACTTTGGCTTTTTTCTGAATATACTTCAGATATGGAGACCTATACTAATCGAATTAACAAACATTTACTCCAGTTCTTCAGTTTACATGGTAATGTACTGTAATTGAGATGTATTATATAAAGAAATCGGTTCATTCAGCGCCTAACCAAAGTACTGGAAGAAATGTACAAATCGAAATATTTCAAAGTAATAAGAGTGAAGGAGTCTGGCTTTGGTTTGTGCTTGAAGGTCTTGTATTTTGCCCACAACTTAAGATGTGAATCCATACGTTTTAGCAGTTGTTTATCTTAAAGTTGGGGTACTTAACATGGGAGTGTTAGAAAATAATTCTTTCTTTTGGGAGATGAATATACCTTATTTCATATCTTTTTCTTTTTCATAGGAATTCCCTTGGAGTCTGGCAGCCATTGTTTTTTCCCAAGCATTCCTTTGTGCTAACAGCAATAACGGTGGCAGATCTGCCACCTCCTGTGGTTTGATAGATTATTCCCTTTATAAACACGTGTACTTAAAACTTTCCTCTCCTGATCTTTGTTCCTGCAATAAATTTTATGATGCCTCTTTGAAAGCTGACATTAATTTTTTTAAAATTGCTTTCTCTTTCAGTGGCATTTAAAATAATTTACTAGACAGTTTCTATTTCTCCCTTTTTTAGAGGGTGTGCTGGGACTCTTCTGACTCTTCTGGTTTTTACAGTTAGACTCTCATGTACATCTGTCTTAATCCAAGTTTCACATTTTGCGGCATCGCCTTTAGGTGCTAAATTTTCACTTATGCATTCATACAGGATTTGCCAAATTACACCTCAGAAGGCAAATGAGAAATCATTTAGACAGATAGTCTTGGCTCTTTATTTCCTGCAGTAATGCAATTTCCTCAAATGCACATTTTTTTCAAGAATTTTTTTTAATTGTCACATTCTGAACGTATGACTTTATTTTTCACATAGAATTTTTTTAGTGTTTTTTAATGTCTAGTGTATAATTTTTCAAAAGGTAACAGGAAGTTTCAGGTAAGAGGTATTGTTCAATTTGATTACTTGAAGAGATACATGTAAGGATATTCTTGATGCCTCTTAAAATATACTGTTTTTTCCTTACACAAAATGTTGATCTCCCATGCTTCAGTTTTATTTTTTATAACCTCTGAGAAACAAGATGAATTAGCTTCATATTTTTTTAATGGTTTTATGGAAACTGAACTAAAGGCTAGATGTCCTTGGGAAGTAAATGGTAACTGGTTTTAAAACACTAAGCTAAGAAGACTAAAACAGTTTCATTATTATCTATCCCAAGCGGCTCTTCCCTAAAGGTTTTAAGGGAAAATGCCTTTAAATGCAGAAGGTCCTAAAAGTGGGAGAAATCAAGAGCCGGGTAAGAATATAATTTTATGATCATGGTTAACACTTTAACCAAGTTCAGTGACAAGAGGAAAAGTTTTCAGAGGATCAAATGCTTACTGCCTGCCAAGCAGCTAGCTGAAGCTTTTAACGTGGCCTGTTGCCAAACACAATACCTGTCTTAGGAGGGGAAGAAATTAATTATAAGAGTGAATTCTGACTGTGCAGAAGTTAAAAGTACAGGTATTCCTGGATTATATTGGTAGATTTGTCAGAAACTTGATATCATTAGAGTTGAGTCTTTTTGTCATAATTTCTGCTTTATCAGTCAAGTCCTTTTTAATTACACTTACATAGGAAGGTGAAAATGTAACCCAGAAAGTCTTATGGAGCATTTTTTCTCTTTTCCCATTGCCACGTGCCTTTTTGTCATTTCTTGCAGACTATTTTCCCCCAGTCTGTATTTGTACCTGTTGCATCTATTCCATGGACTTTTTGAAACCCAGATTTTAGTTCTAGAACACTGCAGATTATTGGAAAAGGCCCGTGTTTTATAGGGCAGCTAGATGGCACAGTGGACAGAGCACAGGGCTTGAAGTTAGGAAAACCTGAGTTCAAATCTGGCCTCAGACGCTTAATAGCTATGTGATCTTAGGCAAAGTCACTTAATGTTTTTTGCCTCAGTTTCCTCATCTGTAATATGAGCTGGAGAAGGAAATGGCAAACGGCTCCCTAGTATCTTTGCCAAGAAAACCCCAAATGGGGTCACGCAAAGTCAGATGCAGCTGACCAACAATGTTTTAAAAATACATTTGTCTAAAATTTAGCTATCTTGCATACTTTATAAACACTAGTGCCAATTTTATCTGAATCTTTTCCTATAATCGTTGGTGTAAGTATACCATGTAAAAATAAATGTGATGTCTCAGAAATAGAACCTGTATTGAAACTGACCATGTGGTGAAATGCTCCGTACATAAGAATTATCAGCATATTCAAGGATGTTAGCCTTAAGGGCTCTAAATTAATTTTAAATATTAAGGATACTAACTAGCATTTCCTGAAAGCTTGCATTTTTCTATTTGTAATACTATTTCCCTTGAAACTTTTGCCAGTTAACACATTGTCAGCAAATTTGAACATTTTTGGCATTGAGGATATAATGCCAGTTGGGCCCCCAGGAATCTAGAGTGTACTGGCTGGATCACTGGCTTGTGGAGGACCTATGTTCAATCAGGTCTCTGCTGCTTATCAGGTAACCTTGGGCAAGTTATCCTAAGCAGCTTCTTGGCTTCCATTTTCTTGATCTATAAAATATAGGAGTTAGATCAGTTGATTTCTTTAGTTTACTTCCAACTCTTAAAAACTCATGAGAGACGGAACAGAATTTCTTAGATTCAGAGCTAGGAGGATGTCAGAGGTCATCTAGTCTATTTTGGCCTTTTTTTAAAAACAATTTAAAGGCCATGACATTTTTTCTAACAAAGCAGATTATATTTGTATATAAAAGTTTTGATAAAGTGCCTTTTGGAAAAAAGTTATAAGAAAATATTCAGTGAATTTTGTGATTTTTTAATTCATTGAGTTCTTTAGACAGTTCCCAAATCAGTATTCATCTGGCTGAATGTAGAGTAAAAATTTTGAGCCTTTTTAAAGATGGTAGAAGAGACCAGCAATTTACAGTAAGTGTTCATTTTCCCTTTAAGCCATACTGTTTTCAATTTGATTTAACATTAAGCATCTGCAGTGTGCGAAAACATTGTGTTGGCTTTGGCAATACAGAGACAAAGATGAAATGGTCTCTGTCCTCAGGTTGCTCAAG